AAAAAAACAAAAACATTTGACTGGACCTCATTTAATTTTCTCTTAATTTTAATAAAATGGTCCCTCGAACTATTCATATTGCGCCATTACATCGGTGCAATTAAGATCAATGTTGCCCCCTTGTGGCTCATACAAAGAACTACACAAACCTTAACTGAACCATTGCTAATATTCTCATAAGTATAAAGCACCAGTTTTTGCAGCCCATTTATATTTCTAAATTTCTATGATTTTCAAACAAATTTTACAGTGTTGGGAAGTCAAGTCAAGACTGAAATGAATGGAAGTTTATACCGTTTAAAAAAAATAGCCAACAACATGCAACTGTTCAGTTTATGTTGACCAGGGCTGTGGTCTACTACTCCAATCATGGAGGCATGGAGATAGTGATTATCCTACAGCAGCACCTCCTAGTGGTTAAACTAGGTACTACATGCTACGAGTGCCTCAAGAGGTCACATGACCGACAAATTATACAACCAAACCTAGCCTGGGGAACAAGCCAATACATCATCATTAACTATAAATCTTAAAGGATAACTCTGAAGTGGTGCAATGAATTGAAGGGGGAGTTGGCTATAGTGTGCAAATTAAACTCAAATTTGAATTTTGAGTTTCTGGCCCTCTACAACAGTTGGGCCTTGTTGGTTCACATCTGTGTCCTATTCCTTCAGATGTCATGGTCAAAAAAAGTCACTGGAAACCCTCAATACCCAACGAAAGCAGAAACCAAGAAGCTGGAATGGCATGGGCTAATTTCCACATTATGCTCAAGGCACCGGCTCAGCGGATTGGCGTAGAGCTTCCCTTTAACCAGAGAATATGGAAACTCTATATGGAAGGTGATGGAAGAGATGGTCTAGTGACGTTAAACATGAAGACATGCAGGTAAGTATGAGGCTTGTTGAGGCCAACAGAGGTGACAGAGACACAAAAGACTGGTCAGCGATAAGTAGGGTATGACATCATAGTTATTGAATCATCACATGCCCCTGAAAGCCAAACTACAGCCCATACGTTTTCTTCTGTTTTTGGAGAAGGGCTAGAACCATTATCCGGCTTTTACTCTGGTTAGATTCCCCTCACTTCCTATTCAAGGAGCAACCAGCCACCTTTACACAGGGTGCCATCAAGACAGGAAGTAAAGGAAAATCTCCCCAGCTGTGACATAGCTAGCTATCAAAAACTTATTGGGAGTCTACCAAAAAAGGTGTTATTTCAGCTTGGGTCTCTCATGAAAAGATCTGTAGAAGTTTCCACCATTGTATAGAACAATTGTTTTTAATTTAGGCAGTGAGAAGGATTTCCCCAACCAATGTTTCTGGATCACGCAGGGTTCCTCTTTTGAGGCAGTGGTCCTTGAAAACAGGGGCCCCGCACAATCCCGAGACGTTAGTTGGCGATATCTATCTCACGGATGTCTAAATAAAAGACAATTATTCTACAAGAAACGTTCACAGACCTGAACAGCTGAAGGGTCCATCACTCCAGTTCACCATTGCAGATGTTATTGGGCATCTATCTGTATAGTGTGCAAATAATGCTATATCTATCATGGAGAGATGACTCCTCACTTTAGTGCCACAATCATAGGAGAAATGTCCCCAGTGAGGTCCACAGGCATCTCCATCAGGGGCAATAAAAAACACATTTTTAGTATAGCGGGAAAGTTTTGGGCCTTTAATGTCCAGGGACATGGACATAAAAAAAAACAACTTCTAAGGTTCTAACCCTTTTCCACTCTTCCTGAGAGTTCTGGCTGGAGTTGGCTTGAAGCAGAACGTATTACTTCCATCAGAAGGAGGAGCCAATTTGTGGGCTTATTTTATAGATCACTGAGGCAGCCATTTTGTGAGACCCAGTTTAGGCTTGATGACTATTATAATAATGGTCAACCATAATATTATATTATACTAATATTATAATGGTCAACCATAGCCACCTTGGAGAATTAATGAGAGCACGAGGTTAAGGCAATGGGTTGAGAGAGAGCTATTGCTTATGATACTTTCCCTTCAAGATGCTGGTGGTAATGTCAGCGAGGCGGCCACACTGTGCTCACATCTAATATCCCTTTCCCATGACTACAGCATCAAGCACCACACAGAACACTATTTGCTCCAGAAGAGCTGACCTAAGACCACAAAATGGCTTCCTTCATTCAACTTTAGCAACAGCCGTCCTTTAGTGTTAGCGAGATTAGTTAAAATTAGTATGGGACTGATGGATTTGAGATGATGAGGGGAAGATTGGGTGAAGCGCATACACAGCGACACAGATGGGTGGGCTTAGGTTACCAGGTATGACAGTTATCATGGTTAATAGGCACTTTAGGATACCAACCTGGGAGGAGGCTCGGCCTGTTGCTCCTTCCTTAAAACAAAAGCGATATCATGTTAGCTGCAATGCAATGGAAAGATGGCGCAGTCTTTGTTAATACACAGCTGTCTTGGGCCTGGGCTGCAGGCATTAGTAGAAGCAAGCCAGGCACGGAAGGTACCAGGAAGGTAAAATGAGGCCTCAAAAGTCAATAATCCCCCCACACAACTATCCCGATCAACTACACCGACATGGACTAATAAAATGAACCCTGTTTGGTGACCAAATATAGAAATAGAAGAACCGGTCATGACTAGGTGTGTACAATAATCCTCATCTTATTATAAATTATGAAGGCCAGCTTATGAAAGATGTATCATTGCCTCTTATTCAGCATCAATATTTATGTCTGCTTGAAAATCAAGGTTTGCATTGTCAACTGTCTTAACTCATACATGGTCTACCCGCTTCTAAGTATGAAAGAATGGACCAAGAGAACGTATACCACTACAGGGTCCTTTTCTTTGACACCATTTGGGCTAATGTAGACAGGCATAGCTGATCAACGCTGCACTTTGGGTGCATGTTGCAGGCAAACAATGCTCACCTCTACATGCGCTCCTAAGAATACTATGGAGCTGGTGAGGCATTGACCGGACAAAAATGGTCAGACCTCAGGTGATCTCTTACCACTCTCAAGTGTCAAACCCAGACAAAGCACGTGACACTAAATAAGGGAGCAAATGTAAAATGTTCATTAGAGTTTGAGGGTTGCCACATATGTTCTCAGCTTGAACATCAAGGAGGTTTGAGATTTTTAGGACAGAGTAAGTAAAACATGTTCAAAAGTTTGAGGGCTGTCCCATACCTTCTAATCCTAGACATGAAAGGGGTTTGAGATTTTTAGGACAGAGTAAGTATAAAACTTTCATAAGTTTGAAGGTTGTTCCCATAAGTTCTCTTTCTAGACATAAAACAGGTTTGAGATTTTTAGTACAGGATAACAAGTATTTATTGAGACCAGTATATGTTTATCATTTTTCTAAGGGGCCTTAAAGATGAATGGGTCCCCCCCAAGAAAGAACAATGGAGATATAAGCGCCCACGGCTTAGATGAGGGTTTGGGCCAAAAGATATTTAAGAAAACATGGACACACTTGTGGAAGATCTGCCCTGTAAAGAAGCAGGCTGCAGACCTCAAGTAGGAAAGTATGGGAGTACAAGTGTTGTAATTGACCGTTGGTCAGGCCAACCATCAAGAAGACCATAACTCAAGATAATATGGACAAGGCAAAAATACAGCAGGAAAGAGGCTTACTGGTCCAGCAGATTACATACAAGATGTATTAAGAACAGCTGGCCACATTCTCAGAGAACATCTGGCAGTGACTGCAACACGGTCAATTGGGGATGGGTATAAATGTTTTCTTACAGATGTGCAGTCTCTAAAAGGTCAAAACGTTTTTTTTAAGGATTATAACTCCTGCAGGTATTTATTCCCTTCTGTGCACCATTGGGTTTGGATTTCCCTTCACGGGCAACTTTCTCCAAAAGCAGGGAAAATACCCTCTTAAGTGTCACTAGTCAAAAGGTGTCCCCATTGGAAGATTGAATCCTTTCTGGGGACAACCATAAAATGTTGAATTTCCCTTCACGTTCTGTCTTGGTGACAATGAACACCAGGACACAGAGAAGGTGAATCTCAAAGAAAGCAGTAAAAACCTAATAGAGGTCCCCATATAGCCATAAAACGTTAATTTGGATAGTGTAGGGAATGGTTAAGAAAATCCTGGTCAGGTTGCCACGTCAGCTCTGTTTAGAAGATTTACCTGTATGTCCTGTCTGGTAGACACAACAGGAAGGAAGTAAGATCCTTAAGTTGCGAGAAATCCCCTCTCAGACAGTGGTCACAGAACAGATGTCCTCATTGGAGATTCACCCACTATTTATGTTCCATTGAAAACTCAAAACTCTGTATGTTCCCCTCACTTTCATTCTTGGTGATAGTTGTTGAACTCCTTAGTAGTCACCAATAAAATCTTGCCAGTAATCCATCCAGCACTTGTACCTCTAATACCATAAATCAGTAGGTGCTGGGCCTACAGTGACACCCCAAAGACCTAAAGTAGAAAATGGCCGGCACACCAAAAAGTAGGCAGACATCATGATTGTCACCTTCAGACAGATGACCTGCATGTCCCCAGAAGGTCTGTGGAATGCCATCACTTGACAACCTGAGACTTCAATTAAAGAGCTTTCATTTGGCATTTTGGCAATTTTCTACCTTTGAGCAATAAAATCCTGGCCGAAGATTTGGCTTTAGAAACATCTTAACGTCCATTCCCGGCACAATGTCGGACACCTATATCCGTAACAAGAACAATAAAAGGTCAAATCCAACTGGACCGGCCATGCCCACTTAGAAATTAGAAACAATAGACAGTTTATAATGTTGCCGCAGTAAACAAGGACCTCTTTGTAGGCCTTGTCTTTACGCAGACTGAAAGAACTGTCTGTGTTGCCTCTATCAATCAGCTTGACTTCCCCCTTGGCTTCTAAGAAACAGGCAGCACCTGGTTTCTAAAAACAACAGACCCCATTTGTCTTTTGCAGCCATGTTGACAAAAGAGTCAAGGCAGAAGTTCTAGCTTAAAGCAGAGAGCCCCTTTAAAACACACTGTCACATAACGGGGCAGACATTTTCTTAGTGTGAACGCCAGATTGCAACCATGGCAAAAAGCAACCGTTAGGCTGAGCTTGGAGAGGTCCAAATGCCTCATATCTGCCTATACTCTGTGATGATGGACCTCACCGGTCAAAACATCTAAAGAAGTCTTGCCTCAGCCTGTGTCGTCTATAGAAACCAACACTTTTCCTGTTCCCAATGCAAGTCATGAGAAGGGACGCATGAATAAGCTTCCTCAGACACAATAATACATTTTGTCTGAAGGAAGAATCACCTCTATCGCCCATGGCAACCAGGGTCTCTGCAGTAGAGTATCGGGGTGCTGCAAGACATACAGACAGCAATATGGCCGCCGTCCTGTTCAGGTCCTTTCGGCAGCCTTTAAAATGTCTCCCTTATTGATGACGCATTCCTTTTCCACTGGAGCAAAGGATCTTTTCTTCTTCCTGAGAGACAGAGGTCCTTTATCCCGGCTCTTCAAAGTTCATCTCACATCCATCGAGAGGAATGAGTCACCGGCGGGGAGGCAGGTGTTGCTATGGCAACCGCATACCGATCGCCTCGGCAGCCGAGCGACAGCTTACATTTGCACTGCAAAAAGCCGCGTCCGACCCCGTTCGCGGAGGGAGAAGGGGGATGGGTCACCATGTTCAATTATTCCACGGATTCCAGACTGAGGCCTAGTAGCCCCTTATTAGCCAGAATACAGAGCAGGGACGTTGTATTATTAATAGCCAACCGGTGACACTGCCACGAAGGCAAGTCAATATTTCATATCTAGAGGACCTTTTGCCGGCTTTAAGAGGAATACAATACAGGAAATCTGATCGTTTAACAGCAGCCCGCCGCATACATCGAATCCATCGCTTTCCCAACCCTTAGGGCTCGCGCGTGCATTTGAAATATCCCCCCGCGCCCAATAGGAGATGCTTCAGTCTCTGCCGGATGCCATGTGGGAGATGAAGACGCCGCATCTGATTGGCAGAAACAGAACCCAAGAAAGGCCAACTGGTTGCCAAAGCAAAAGAACCGGGTTCATCTATGAAGTTGAGCAGCCAATAACCTTGATAAGCATAGGTTCAGGTTGACCACAGGATGAGGTTGTGATCTGTTAGATCGACACAGGGAGTGGGGTTGAGGCCTGCTAGCATGGCTACCGATTGTGCCATTTTTGGTGCATTGGCAGATGATTTATTGTTGCTTCAATAGTCTGCAGAGGGCCATACACGCTGGGCTGATCGAGAGAAACCACTCAACTCCCTCATCCCCACTATCTTCAGCAGAGAAAAGAATTAGGAATACAAACTCTAGATCTGTATCTACTTATCTATGTTCTCCTGATGAAATGATCATGGTTCATGAAACGTGTTGAGATACGGTCCTTCAATCAAGAGATACAAGTGTGTAACAACCTTGGATACAATTTTATGACACAAGTATCTTTACATGGGGGGACCTAAGGAGAGGTTCTTAAATATTGATATGTTCTAAATAATGTGCGTGTCTACTATCCACGTTCTCCTAATGAAGTGAACATTGTTCATATAACATGTTGAGATATGGTCCTTCCATCAAGAGATACAATAATTGTATAACAACTTTGTAACACAAGTATCTCTACATGCAGGACCTAAGTGGAGGTTCTCTAATATTTATATATGCCAGATCTGTATCTACTATTCATGTTCTCCTGATGAAGTGAACATTGTTCATGAAACCTGTTGAGATATATCTGTAAAAAATAAGTCAAGGCAACTGGACTTGCTGTATTTTTCTTGAAGACGTTTCACTGGCCATCCAACCAGCTTTCTCAATTCAGAATGACTTGTACTAATTTTCTCTCGGAATAGATATGGTGAATGTTTCTCCAATCCACATCGTCTGTTAGTCACAACCAGGTGTTGATTGTATTTGCATAATTGGAGTCTAGAAGGTGTTATTAACCTGCCCAGAGAGTGCAGTGAGGAGCGCTCAGAATTGTATGTCGGTGAAACAAAACAGCAGCTACACCAGCGTATAGCACAGCATAGAAGAGCCAAACCCTCGGGTCAGGATTTGGCAGTGTACCTACACCTAAAAGGAAAAAGGTCACTCCTTTGAAGACAGTCAAGTACGCATCCTAGACAGGGAGGAGGCCTGGTTTAAAAGAGGAGTGAAAGAGCTGAATAGGGGGGGTGAGCCATCTATTGTCTGCCCAATACAATGCTGTTTTAACACCTCTCTCTGGGCAGGTTAATAACACCTCCTAGACTCCAATTATGCAAATGCGATCAACACCTGGTTGAAATTAACAGACGATGTGGATTGGAGAAACATTCACCAAATCTATTCCTAGAAAAAACATGTACAAGTCATTCTGAATTGAGAAAGCTGGTTGGATGACCAGTGAAACATCTTCAAGAAAAATACAGTAGCCTTGACTTATTTATAACAGATATACCATGACCTGGATGAATGAGAACCTTCACAGACATGTGTTGAGATACGGTCCTTCAATCAAGAGATACAATTGTGTAACAACTTTGGATACAGTTTTGTAACACAAGTATCTTTAGATGGGGGGGGACCTAAGTGGAGGTTCTTTTATACTTATATATTTTAGATAATCTGCGTGTCTACTAACCATGTTCTCCTAATGGAGTGAACATTGTTCATGAAACACATTGAGATACTGTCCTTCCATCAAGAGACATCTTTGGTAACGGTTTTGTAGCACAGGTATCTTTATATGGGGGACCTGAATGGAGGTTCTTGAATATTTATACATTTTAGATCTATAGCTACTATCCATGTTCTCCTGATGAAGTGAACATAGTTCATGGAATGTGTTGAGATGGCATTTTTTGTAAATAAAATATAGATATTCCATTGATATGTGTCTAGAATGACATATATTGTATGTACCTTGAAAGTCCCAAAAATGTATTTCTTGTTGATATCCTCTAAATATAGAAAGAGATGATCAGGGCCGGATTTACTCTTTCTGCTGCCCCAACGTGCCCCCTCCCCGCCAAACCCAAAGGTTGGTGTTCATTTTTTTTTTTTTTACTTTTTCTTTGCTTTTTTTTTATCACTTTTTTATTTTTTCAATGTTTATTTACTTTTTTTACTTCTTTTATCTCATCTTCTACTTTTTTCAAAGCAGGGCTAAAAAGGTAGAAAAAAAAACACCCGCCCAGCGGCCGGAACTGCATGTCCCCAGCGTCGGGAGGTAGGAATTCCACACCCCCGCTCCCCCTCAGCTCCCTGCTGCCCCAAGGCCGGGCCTCGCTTGGCCTTGTGGGAAATTCGGCCCAGGGGATGATGGAACACCCCCTGAGTGGAAAAGTCCACAGACATCATGTATAATTTTTTTTTTCTATGATCTTTCCAGCTCAATATTTTGCACGAGCCACCACATAGAACATCATATAAAAGTAGTAAATTCAGTTTGCTGGTAACACAATGGTTGGTAAAACATTATCTAAAAAGGCATAAATAACAAAGCCACCCTATAACATGCCCAAACTCCCATCCCCCAACGTCTGACCTGAATGTTAGTCCAGATTTGCTCTTCAGGTTCCGAAGAAGATCCAGTTGGTTCAGTGGTGGGATCAACCTAAGAAGAGATTATAGAGACAAGGAGTCATCCAATTGTAATGGTGAAGGACCCTGCAATCATTCTAACTAGATAATGGCCATTACCCTGATTGTTCTATTCCTTACGGCCCCTTCACTGAACACAATTATAATCTTAATCTTGAACTGGTAGTGGGTTTGGATTTTTTTTTAAATAAGTTTTTTTGAGAGATAGACCAGAAGTGACACCATTTTTTGTTCCAAACTAAGGTGTGAAGGAATACATTGGTGGTGTTGGTGCAACTTTCCCGTGAGTGGCAAAGGAAATGTCAACAGTGGGGCGGGGGTCACACTAGAACCAGCAGGCCACAAACACAAGCAAAAAACAAGGTTAATTACAAACACGACCACAAAACATCTCATACCCAACGAGCAAGACGGAACAATGCCAAGATCAAGCAACATTAAGTTGTGCTTCCGGTGTGAAAAGGCAACTGTGTGAGACGTCTTTGGCCTGAGCAAAGCTATTCACTGGAAGCCAACAGGCGATGTTCTCACATTCAATTCACAAGATGGCAACTCCCAGATAGTCATGGTCTCCAAAAGGAGCCATTTTGCCAGGGAGCCAATATCTCAAAAGAAAGCAGACCATCAATTTAGGAGGCACCAGCTCTATGTATCTAGTTCCTAGTGAATTGATGGACCACATTTTCATGAATTTTAGTTCAGCGCCAAAATGGTCACCTCCACTCTTCTAACATAAGCTAAAAATGGGGCCCATCTTCCAGTCCAAGTGTGTGCAGGGTCTTGTTGAGTGAACACCAGTGGATACAGACTCTCACATTCGTTCGGCACAAAATGGTCACGGTGGTTTCACAATCCTTGAGTGTACACAACACCACAACTGGGATGGCAAACCGACAGCACAATGCTAGGAGAAAGGGGAAGTGGGATGGAAGACACTACATTGCACATATACGTGTGCCATACCTGGACGCACCATATGTTTGAGAGCTGCTCGCCAAAATACAAAATGGGTGAGAGAAAAATGGTAGGGGGGAGAAGAGCACAAAAAAAAAAAAAAGTCAGGAATTATATGGGAGTGCTCAAATCAGGGGTGAGGGGTCAATCATGCCACGAGTCCAGAGATTTAAATCAGGAAGTCAACATTTCACAATCATTACTGGACCCATTAAAGTGCCTAGAGAAAGCCCCAACAGCCATCATACAACCAATACGAGGAAATGAGAGCTCCCTCTAGAGGTGGTAAGTATGTACTACACTCTACAGATAAAAACACCTTTCCAAAATAATGGCTTAACATAAATATGTAGCAATCAATAACCATGGATATAGACGGAAAAAAAGACACATGCATATTAAAGGACTAATCTATGGAATGTCACTGAACTCTGGAGGTTCTGAGAAAAAAAAATATTTCTATTAAATGATTTCATTATAGAAGAAGGATAAGTATGATAGGAAAAAATAAATGAACATTCTATTTATAAACACAAAAGAGAGAGAGAGAGAGAGAGAAGGCGAGGGGAGAGAGAGAGAGAGAAGGCGAGGGGAGAGAGAGAGAGAGAGGGGGAGGGGAGAGAGAGAGAGAGAGAGAGAGAAAAAGCTCCAGTCCACCTCTGAATACATATATAACATGATTGGGCTCTGAAGGCAGCTAGTATAATGATAGTTTCAAGTATTTCTATTAGCTGTAGTTGAACATTCCATGGATATAAGAGGTCACCTCTGACTGCAGTTTGGCTTTAAGGGGTCATAGAGAGCTTTCTTCCCTTTCAGCTGCCTAGCAGACCTGGAATTACCACACTTATCACAGCCAGTTAAGATCTACTTAAAAGTTCTTTTGAATCACTGCCAGACAATCAGTCCACGCGCACGCAAGCACCCACACACAGTGACTTGGAGAAGAGTTACCTAGCGTCCACGCTGATCTGAGCCGTCTTCATAGGCTGATATGAGGCAACAACAAATTACGAGCAATGGGAGGGGTGGTGAAGGGGTTTGAATGAAAAGAACAAAAAATAATTAAAAAAAAGAGGCAAACAACAAAAACACAAAAAAATTATAAAAATTAATGCAATAATAATAATAATAATAACAACAAAGAAGTCAAACACGGAATTTAACTTAAAAAAAGAAAAAGAAAACTGAAATGTCTCCAGCAATGCAGAATGATGGCCGGGGTGGAGAGTGGAATTATGGGAAGTGATGAGACGGGCATCCCCAACAGGTACCTGTACATGGGCACAGCCACACTGCGCTCGTAGTAGTGCCAGGTAGAGTGCAGGTCCATGCGCGCCAGATTAGTGGCGTAAAATCTCCACGAGGCCTGAAAGAGATAAAAGAGTGGAAGGATTTGTAACAAGAACTAGTGACCCTGACAAACCAACGCGCAGAAGAAAATAACCTGGAAATATAAAGAATGACAGATCCTCTAAACAGGTTAAAGAAAACAGTTGTGTCTGGTGTTGGGCTTTAAGGAGGCAGATATAAAAGGAGGCAGATATGAAAGGAGGCAGATATGAAAGGAGGCAGATATAAAAGACACAGATTAAGGCAGCATTGCAGTCATCAATATATTAAGTGCCCAATTCTGACTTCATATCAGCTTCCTGCAGTCCCTGTACAGCAGTGCTCAGACTTGGGGAGGGAGAAACAGCACAAGGAGCCAATCAGGCGTACTGCTGTACCTCCCAGCGGTCAGCTTAGTGCAGGTCATGGTGCCATTCAGGCATCTGAGCGGCAAAGAATGCCGAGGAGTCTGGAAAAAAAAAAAAAATCAACTCAGATCACATGTTCTGATTGTTAGAAATATGTTCCATGTAAAAAAAAATAGGTGCACCGGGCTCAGGGATCCTGAAGATGGAGCTGCCTCACACAGCAATCTACAAGGTACACGTATTCCAGAACGTGAACAGATCACAAAGAGAGAGAGAGTGAAAAAAAAAAGAAAGAAAGAGAAGAAGAGAGAGAAGAAGAGAGAGAAGAGAGGAAAGAGAGGAAGAGGAGAGACAAAAGGAATGAGAGTGTTGATGCGGGAAAGATAAGTGGGCAGAGGGAGAGACAAAGAAGGAAAGAGGAAGAGGAAGAAGAGAGAGGAGAGAGAGAGAAAAGAAGAGAGGATAGAGAGAGAAGAGAGAGAAGGAGAGGAAAGAGAGAAGGAGAGGAAAGAGAGAAGGAGAGGAAAGAGAGAAGAGAGGAAAGAGAGAAGGAGAGGAAAGAGAAGAGAGGTGAGAGAGAGAAGAAGAGAGGAGAGCGAAGAAGAAGAAAAGCAGAGAGAGAGGGGTCAGAGGAAATGAGAAGGTGGAAGTGGACAGAGGAATAAAGAGAGAAAGAAGGAAATGGGAAAGAAAGGGAGAGATGAAGGAAATAGAGAGAAGATAATAGAGAGGAGATAGAGGACATCGTTTTATGATCTTACTCCGTGGCATAGATTGGTGTTTCTCAGATTTTTCTGCCTACAGTCCCATTATCTGTCAGATGTGTATAGCTGAGAGTGATACTGATCACCGGCATTCAGAAATGATCCCTATCTCTTCGGAAATGCTGTGTCATTGGACTTTCATCTTAGGAATGGCGCTCAGTACAGGGAATCCCGGTCATCTGTATTTGTAACCTTTCTAAATGAGAACACTGACATCTTTATTTCACCACTAACTGTCTTTATACAAAGGCTGAGCCCCTCCCGGGGGTACAAGGCAGAGGGGACGCCTAGAATTAGAAGGCTTACTGAACAGTGGTCAGAGGGAACATATAACCTGAGCTAAAAATACTCATTGTACCCCAAGTGTCAGTGTGTCATTGTTCTGGACCCCCAAGTGTCAGTGTGTCATTGTTTTGGACCCTCAAGTGTCTTGGATTCTATGTGCCAGTATTTAAGTGTCCTGGCACCCCTTAGTAGCCACGTGCATGCATTTTGATGAGGTTACAGGAACAGTTTGATTCCATTCTATCACTGAGCAGCAGTGTCATCGGCTACTTTGGTTTATGAGTTTGGCTTTGATTACCAAGAAGCATTTACTTCATCTCTACATCTGTGCCTCCTGCCTGTAAGGAATTATGGCAGCAGCTGTGTCTTCCTCCAGCTAGGCACAGCTCCCAAATGCCCATCGTAGGAGGGGCTGAACTCTTCTTTCTAAACCCTCCGGTAAACCTTTCACGGTTTACCCCAGAAAATTTCACTTTCAGAATTCCGGTATCAACCTTAGAAAGTTGTCAAGTAGGCCCGAGCCCAGTCTAAGATGGCGAGACTATAGTCCGGAATAATGAAGAATGAGACGGCTGCCTACAGCACTTTATACAGTAACTGACAGCGTCCATTGATAGATTCCATGGAGTTGCTCTATAGCTGACTTTTCAAACATTAACTAAACGATGTCCATAGCCAAAGATGAGTTAAATTGGGGAGTGTCCACTTTGCCGAAATGTCACCATAAAATCTGGAGCTTTCAGTAGAGTCAATGAAGGAAGACTAAATGAATGTGGTTATTGGTGGATTTAAGGGTGTAATTGGCTTTAAATTACAACTAAGGGCTCCTTTAAATTACAACTAAGAGCTGTTCCTGTGACTCCCCCCTTAGCAAGGAACAGAGGAGGGGTCAGCACATGAGGCCTTGGGGTCTCTGCCCGGGGAGGCAAGCCTTGCGGTCTCTGCCCGGGGAGGCAAGCCTTGGGGTCTCTGCCCGGGGAGGCAAGCCTTGGGGTCTCTGCCCGGGGAGGCAAGCCTTGGGGTTGGTGCGCTAGAGGTAACGTCTGGGTCAGTATGCTAGGAACAGTGCTGGGGGTCAGTGTGCTGAGGACAGGCTTTGGGGTCAGTGTGTCAGGGATAGCATTGGTATCAGTGCACTGAGGACAGCTTTTGGGTCAGCAGAAATTCCTGCACCTTCACCCTGAATTGACATATCTGACTCCGCTCTTTCCCCCAAATTCCCAAGGTGCCATCTGTTCCAACCAGCTGCTCCCGTGGATGATGTACGCTGTATTGCGAGGATAGGCCAATGTGCGGCGCAGGTGAATGCGTCTCCTAGATACAGGTCCCCGTGGAAGAAGAGATCCAAACTATATCATCACCTACCTGAATCAGGCCAGCTGCCGGGTTCCGCCTCTTCTCAAAGTGCTTCTGTCGGTGCTGTTCTTGGACTTTCAAAGCAAATCCGGAGCCCAAAATGCCCTGAAATAAAAGAGTTCCGATATTCCGTATACAACGCCAATACATCCCACTGCCCATCACAGGATCTAACCCACCCCAGCGATCCCCAAAGACCAATTGGCTGCTATCAAAGAGATACAGAAGGTTCTACAGTGAATCCCTGAACACATAAATCTTCATATACACATGTCTGTATTGGAAGCAAAGCCACTCTTAAAGGGTCAGTCCGCCCAAACATTATATTTTAGTAATAAATGGAGCCTGGTGCCTGAGACGGCCCCCAGCTTCCTATAAGTCTTAGATACACCAACTGTGAGATCTCCAGACTATAATTCCTCATCATGTTTCTGTCCACCTGGGAGTTAGAGATGTTCCCCCCCACCTGTGTGTCCCAGCTCCTCCCATTACATTCTCCATAATAGAAAATAGACCGGACCTAGACCCTGGGAACTCAGCTCAGGGATGATGGGAACCCTCATAAATGGGCACAGCAGGTGTACAGACCCTGGAACTCAGCACAGGCATGGTGGGAGCACCTCACAATGGGCACAGCAGGTGTACAGACCCGGGAACTCAGCACAGGGATGGGGGGAGCTCCTCATAATGGGCACAGCAGGTGTACAGACCCGGGAACTCAGCACAGGGATGGGGGGAGCTCCTCATAATGGGCACAGCAGGTGTACAGACCCGGGAACTCAGCACAGGGATGGTGGGAGCCCCTCATAATGGGCACAGCAGGTGTACAGACCCTGGGAACTCAGTACAGGGATGGTGGGAGCTCCTCATAATGGGCACAGCAGGTGTACAGACCCTGGAACTCAGCACAGGCATGGTGGGAGCACCTCACAATGGGCACAGCAGGTGTACAGACCCTGGGAACTCAGCACAGGGATGGTGGGAGCCCCTCATAATGGGCAGAGCAGGTGTACAGACCCGGGAACTCAGCACAGGGATGGTGGGAGCTCCTCATAATGGGCACAGCAGGTGTACAGACCCAGAAACTCAGCACAGGGATGATGGGAGCTCCTCATAATGGGCACAGCAGGTGTACAGACCCGGGAACTCAGCACCGGGATGCTTGGAGCCCCTCATAATGGGCACAGCAGATGTACAGACCTGGGAACTCAGCACAGAGATGGTGGGAGCCCCTCATAATGGGCACAGCAGGTGTACAGACCCAGAAACTCAGCACAGGGATGGTGGGAACACCTCATAATGGACACAGTGGGTATAAAGACCCGGGAACTCAGCACAGGGATGGTGGGAACACCTCATAATGGACACAGTGGGTATAAAGACCCGGGAACTCAGCACCGGGATGGTGGGAGCCCCTCATAATAGCCACAGCAGGTATACAGACCCGGGAACTCAGCACCGGGATGGTGGGAGCCCCTCATAATAGCCACAGCAGGTATACAGACCCGGGAACTCAGCACCGGGATGGTGGGAGCCCCTCATAATAGCCACAGCAGGTATACAGACCCGGGAACTCAGCACCGGGATGGTGGGAGCCCCTCATAATAGCCACAGCAGGTATACAGACCCGGGAACTCAGCACCGGGATGGTGGGAGCCCCTCATAATAGCCACAGCAGGTATACAGACCCGGGAACTCAGCACCGGGATGGTGGGAGCCCCTCATAATAGCCACAGCAGGTATACAGACCCGGGAACTCAGCACCGGGATGGTGGGAGCCCCTCATAATGGGCACAGCAGGTGTCCAGACCCAAGAGCTAAGCGCAAGGATGGTGAGAGCCCCTCCATCTCGCCAATACAGTCACCTAGAGACAGATGAAGCTGCCGGGTAGTGTAACTCTCCAGCTTCCACCACACACTAAAATATCAGTTACGGGGCAGGCTGACCCTTTAATTTTTAGCCCTTCACTTCCTGTATATGTATTTTTCACTCATTGTAATACATTTTGCACGTTGACGGAGAACACTCAAGAATTCTCTTCCATCCCATAGAAGGTTACACAGTCAGGGAAAGTCCTAGCTGACCTCACATAGACTACTCTAGGGTTGTATCATTGTGTATAATATGTGGGTGAAGCTGCACATTCCCAGGCACAGAGAACATGGGACTCTCACACACATATAGTAATAGACATTGGGCAGGGGCACCAACTTCTAACAGGGCGGGGTTTTAAATTTCCAGTGTAAACACCCAATTACAGTCTTCTACTTTTATAATCATAATGTTGTGATCTCAGGTGCAGTGGTCTACCACAGACCCTCTATAGGAGTTTACTAATATAATGTATACCTACATACAACTATGAGGAAACCTGGAGCTGGTCCTGGCATGTACTGCTGCCAATCGGCACAATGCAGCTTTTCATTAGTGTGCCAGGTTCCCCCTTGTGAAGAGGGCAGGTATGGAGAACTAGAGAAGTTACACAAAGCCCAACCTTTGCCAAGGGACAAGTCCATATCAATCTTCACTCATGGCCATGTTGGGGTCGGCTACTTGACACGTAGAGGAGATTAGAAGCATCATGAGTGCTCCTTATTGGACAGCACGCAGGACAATCTCGGTGTGCACATGCTTGGACTCTTCCCTTTACTACATGGGAACATTCATTCTTTATAGTGAGTTGATGTATTAACCCTTCGGCTGAATAGGGAAGAAGATCGTGAATCGCCCCATGGTGTGCCTCTAAATCAAGGGGTGGAAATCCACCATCTGCGGGCTGCCTAATTCTCAGACTTACGGCCGGCAGAGCAAAAAAGGAGACGCCGATCAGCGTGAAGGTGGCCGCAAGCAGCCGGCCGTTCCAGGTCGTTGGGTACTTGTCTCCATAGCCAATGGTGGTCAATGTGATCTGGGGAGAGAAGACAACAGATCAGGATCTTACCAAGAGAAAAAAAAAAGCAACACAGAGAATATAACCCAAGAATAAGACAACGCGTCTGTACAACTAAAAACTGAGGTCGCTTCTATCATTATTATACAAAATGCACTTTCATTTAATGTTACTGGATATTAACTTTCTGATACAGTCTCAGGCCAACACAACAACTCTTCCACTTATACCAGTTCAGTGATCTCCTTTAATAATATTATTAAAATCTCAGGTCAACACAACAACTCTTCCACTTGGCTGGCTGGTTATATTAAAGAATGTACTATATTACATTTACAAAATCATCATTATTATTATTCAATATAATTATTAATTGTATTATTTTTTTTATGCCCGTCGGGAAGATTTCCCATTCAATTCCTGTCCTGATGACAGTAAGAGGAAACACCCAAGATTGAGTAAAAATTAATTTTTGTTACACCTTTCTAGGTATTGTTGACAGTAATGACACTAATGACATTAAAAAGCTGATGGGGGGTTATAGTCACCCTCCAAAAACTCTTTTATAGGAGACCGTGAACCCTTTGAGATATTTCCCCTGACTGCCTCTCTCCAGTGCCATTGGGAGACAAAGATGAATCCTATGTAAAGCAGAATGTCCTATAACTTCTTCTGCTCTATGGTAGTCACCCAGACAGGAAGTGAAGGGAAATCTCCACAAGCACTAATACAAAGCTGAAACGCCGCCCATCCTATATACTACAATAGAAAATAAGATTGTATTGTCTGGAGTTCTGCTTTAGTTTGTATTGCTCTGCCCCCTATAATGTGCAGAGACTCACCAGGCCCCACCACAGGGCATCTGCGTAGGTGTCAAACATTTCGCTGTTCTCCTCCTTCTCTGCCAGGTAGACCAGGAATGATGCCAGGATGAGGCAGAGGAAGCCGATGTACCAGGCTGTGATCAGTTCCTACAGGAGAAAAACACAGAACTGAGATTCTGCTGATCAAAGAGGACCTGTATTAAAGCAATAAATACAATACTGTGCAATGATGAAGGGGGATGATGCTGGATGTCATCCGTCCAGGAAATAAGGTGGTTTCTATCTGACTTGCTGCAGCTTGTAATGCACATAGTGAGATAAGAAAAATTCCAGTCCAGGAGAGGAGCCGCTACAACTGTGCAACACTGAAGAGACGGCCGGAGGTCAGCTTTAGCGACCCCCTGAAGGTTACCTTGCTGTGCGCATACACTACAGATCCCAGCAGCTTCCACGTCCCTCCTCTCCGGTCCATACGAATCATACGCAGGATCTGTAGGAACCTCAGACTCCTTAGGGCCGAGGTGGCAAACACATTCCCCTGGGAACCCGCCGACAGGACTGCTATGGAGGCGATCAACACCAAGATATCTACAAGAGGAAGGAGAGAGAGAGGCATGTGTATGCATGGAGTGAAGGACCATCCCTGCATACCTGCTGTGCCCATTATGAGGCGCTCCCACCATCCCTGTGCTGAGTCCCCGGGAATGATGCCCATTATGAGGAGCTCCCACCATCCCTGTGCTGAGTCCCCGGGAATGATGCCCATTATGAGGAGCTCCCACCATCCCTGTGCTGAGTCCCCGGGAATGATGCCCATTATGAGGAGCTCCCACCATCCCTGTGCTGAGTCCCCGGGAATGATGCCCATTATGAGGAGCTCCCACCATCCCTGTGCTGAGTCCCCGGGAATGATGCCCATTATGAGGAGCTCCCACCATCCCTGTGCTGAGTCCCCGGGAATGATGCCCATTATGAGGAGCTCCCACCATCCCTGTGCTGAGTCCCCGGGAATGATGCCCATTATGAGGAGCTCCCACCATCCCTGTGCTGAGTCCCCGGGAATGATGCCCATTATGAGGAGCTCCCACCATCCCTGTGCTGAGTCCCCGGGAATGATGCCCATTATGAGGAGCTCCCACCATCCCTGTGCTGAGTCCCCGGGAATGATGCCCATTATGAGGAGCTCCCACCATCCCTGTGCTGAGTCCCCGGGAATGATGCCCATTATGAGGAGCTCCCACCATCCCTGTGCTGAGTCCCCGGGAATGATGCCCATTATGAGGAGCTCCCACCATCCCTGTGCTGAGTCCCCGGGAATGATGCCCATTATGAGGAGCTCCCACCATCCCTGTGCTGAGTCCCCGGGAATGATGCCCATTATGAGGAGCTCCCACCATCCCTGTGCTGAGTCCCCGGGAATGATGCCCATTATGAGGAGCTCCCACCATCCCTGTGCTGAGTCCCCGGGAATGATGCCCATTATGAGGAGCTCCCACCATCCCTGTGCTGAGTCCCCGGGAATGATGCCCATTATGAGGAGCTCCCACCATCCCTGTGCTGAGTCCCCGGGAATGATGCCCATTATGAGGAGCTCCCACCATCCCTGTGCTGAGTCCCCGGGAATGATGCCCATTATGAGGAGCTCCCACCATCCCTGTGCTGAGTGCCCGGGTCTGTACACCTGCTGTGCCCATTATGAGGGGCTCCCACCATCCCTGTGCTGAGTCCCCGGGAATGATGCCCATTATGAGGAGCTCCCACCATCCCTGTGCTGAGTTCCCGGGTCTGTACACCTGCTGTGCCCATTATGAGGAGCTCCCACCATCCCTGTGCTGAGTTCCCGGGTCTGTACACCTGCTGTGCCCATTATGAGGAGCTCCCCCAATCCCTGTGCTGAGTTCCCGGGTCTGTACACCTGCTGTGCCCATTATGAGGAGCCCCACCATCCCTGTGCTGAGTTCCCGGGTCTGTACACCTGCTGTTGCCATTATGAGAGGCTCCCACCATCCCTGTGCTGAGGGCTTAGGAGGCGGAGGGCTTTAGGAGGTTAGGTTTTCAGCTATGCATTAAGGTTTATGTTAAGTGTTAGGTTAGGGGAGTTCATGGTTCAGATAGAGAGAAGGTGAAGAGTCAGTCTGTGGCTTTGGGTTACAGATATTACAGTTGGGGGAGTTATAAGAGGTTTCATTTTTTTTCTGCACGGACGCCCCACGCCAAAAACGTCCTTTTCCAGCCTGTCACAGGACAACCTCATCTACCTCTAGATAAAGGATAATGGTTCAGCCTCATCTGGGGTCAGTCGTTTCTCTAGGGCTCAGCCCAGATCTTATCCCATTTTAAGGTAGAATGTCTTTACGTTCCTCACCAATAACGCAGAACGGTTTACGGGCAAATTTCAACCTCCCCCTCCACCCCCGGTAGCGGCAGCAGCAACCGGCGGCCCAGATCCGGACAAAGTATTCCACGCCGAAGACCACGATGGTGACAATTTCCTGCGGGATGAAGGAGAGAGCAGAGGAGTGTTTATAGGGCAGGTTCACCTTCCAACATACAAACCAAACGACGTTAAAAAAGAAACGGCTCAAAATCTACTACAAGCCCCCTTCATCTGACCACAAATGGGACCATGGTGTAGAACCAGGGGGGGGGCAAAGTCCAAAATCACTTTGAGGTCTATTTCTTAACAATTCATAGAGCCCTTCACCCTGCGTGAACGTTTGTTCTGTGTGAATAGAGGCACAAAAGAACATTCCTTTCATATTTTCTTTTCAGGTCTAATGTCATGTAGTACCATATTATGGGCACTAGATGGAGCACAGAGAAGGATTATTATTTCCTATGCTCCTGAGCACCATCTGGTGGCCACAATGATGTATTACACTACAATAGACTTGAAAAGATGAACATTTGTTTTTGCTTCTATTCACACAGAACGAACATTCGCAGAGGTGCACAGGATGAATGACTCTGCAAATTGTTTATAACTAGCCCCCTTTAGGATGCATATTGTATATATGTGGCACTAAGGACACAGGACTATGTAACAAGGGGCAAAACTACAGATCATGAGGCCCCATAGCAAAATTTTATTAGGGCCGCATATCAAACCTTACAAAATATAAATCAAGGACTGGTAGCAGGAGAGCTGTCTGCACAGTCTCTTCCTGTACATCTGATATCCACTCTTCTTGATTGGAAATGCCATAAGGGGTACAGGGTCAACAGCAACTTCAGCAATCCTTCATGGAGGCCCCCCTCCACCCCCAGGCCCCATAGCAGCCGCATGGCCTGCTATGGCTATTGTTATGCCCCTGTATGTAACAGAGCAGACACAATAAGCTATTCATGCGGAGCTTCCGCACAGCAGCACCTACCAGTATATAAAGGGCTCCTTCCGATTTCTCTTCATACTCTTTAATCGTTGAGAACACAGAGAGGACGAGACAGGAGAAGACAAGAAGGAACCTGGGAAGGGGGAAAAAAAGATTATATAACCTTAATGGCAGTCTGGGCAAAGCAATAAAAGCTGAACAGTGCGGCAGAGCTGCGTAAATCTCAGAAACGGATGGGCAGGAATACAAATCCTTTGGCTGCCAGCATGTTCATGGGGAGCTCAGCAATGGCAGCCCATAGGTAATTCTTTCATCCTACACCTAAATGAGAAGCACCGGGGTCATGCAATGCATTTTCTAGGTTCACATATACAGCCGCTCATTGATAAACGCCCGACTTGCACAGAGACTAGGAGGCAGCAACATCGCTTAGACAATCCGCTCCTATAATAATAACACGAGTGCTGCTTTGCCTCCTACGTGGCAGATGAGATTCCGACACCTACAGGAATTACAGGCTGAGGAAGCTGATAATTGCAGGATCCCATGAGATAAGCATTATAGGATTAGTGAAAGGGGCGGGGGGTACTCTGGATACCCGGAGGAGCTCAAATTTAACAAATTGCCTTCCTCCAGTCAATAAAGTCACTTCAGCGTTTTTTTTCTTCCGGCCTTCCCTCCATCAGCACCTTTCTTAAAGGAACGTTCCACCTTTAACCCTATTTTTCCTAGAGATGCGGAATCCCAGCCGGGCCGTTCATAAGGCTCATAGGACAGCAAGCTACACGTTCCCACCACCGAGGTCGAAATTTGAGGTTACAGTGAAAGCGATGAGAGCCCGAGCTGGACAATCTCAAAGGTCAATTTCTTTGCTACTTCTTCCCTTCTCAGTGCTGCAGATCTCCCTCGGCTACTTCCTGTCTACATGCGCTCGCTTCAGGGTCAGCTGCCCGTCCTTGCCCTGGATTCACTCCTAGATAGTGACAATGGCGATCCATGCATGGGCAACGTACATCAGCACAGCCAGTTGTGGTCTCCACCAGGTGCCCATGTGACAGGGTGACAACGCAGAAACACAAAATGGGACATAGTTTTCACCCTGTAACAGGAAGTACCTGAACATCACCCTGTAACAGGAAGTACCTGAACAAGGACCTTCATGGCAGGGATTATTTAAATACGCTTTAAAAAGACTGAAAATTACTTTTGAAATAAACCCAAGCCTACAGGAGACCGCGGTGGTCGGGTTCACATGTACTTTAAAGTGGGTTATCAGTACAATTTAGGTGCCTTCCCATTTAAATATCAGACTCTGTAGTAGAAATCTACATGGAGATGGAAAATCGTACCAATGTGTGCCAGGACTCTGAGAATACTGGGGTTACCATTATAGACACATCATGTTACATTAAAGACCAACTTTGAGCTCTGGAAAAAGTAGAGGAGGGTGTCTTCCTGTTCCCGGTGACACCCCTACGCATTGTGTTTAGCCCTGGTGTCAAAGGGACAGGAAGCGAGGAGAGAATCCAAAACCTAAAAATAAATGTCATCCATACCGGGAGTTCTTATCAGTCCTGCTCTGGTCTGCCTCGGGTGCCCTGCCATGCTGCCCCAGCTACCTGTCCTGATGCGATGATAGGACTCTGATGGGAAGGGGCTTCAGTGGGGAAAAGGGGGAGGGGGCTTCTGATGTGAAGAGAGGACTGATGACCCTGATGGGAAGGGGGCTTTGGATCTAAAGGGGGGAAAAAGGACCCTGATAAGAAGGGGGTTTCTGATGTGAAGGGGGAATGTGAGGACT